CTATGAAGGTTATTTTTTTCTCTGAAGGTTGAACAGGTCAGACAAGTTTTGAACCTGGAAGTCTTTTTGTATTAATACAATACTAAAGCCTTTCTCAGCATCATTTTTTTTTTCAGACCTCAGGGGCTTAGATATAACCCTTCCTTCATGGCACGTTACCATCGCTGGTCTGCTGGGGCCGTGTCTGGTTTTCTTTGCTCCCTTTTATTCTTATTCCTTTCTATCCACTATAATGAACTATTCTAATGTGCTCAATATTTGTGTCTTTGTATATGCACTTCCAAAATATGTATTGTGGTTTTTGTGCAGTAATCTTAATTTTCATAAATGGTATTATGTAAATGGTATTGACTCCATTCTGTTTTTCCTCCTTTTCATTCAGCACTGTATTAAAAATCTTTTTATGTTACTACTTCCAGTTAATTACTTCTAACTGCTGATAGTACCCTGTGATGTCCATCCAACACATTTCATCCATCTTCTCTCCCAGTGGTGGACACCCAGATTACCTCCAGCTCCGTGCTATTTCAAATAACATTATAATACACATCTGTCAGTTGTCTCCTTGAGACTATAAGAATTTGTTAGGATGTACATACCCGAGTGCGGAATTGCTGGTTTATAGAGGATGTGTATGCTTATTTGATTAGGTGGTGCCAGACTGCTCTCCAGAATGGCTGCACCATTCAGCACTCCCAACTGCAGTGGATGAGGATTCTAATATTCTCATATCTCTGAGAAGGCTCAATGGTCCAGATTTCAGATGGTTGCCAGTTCAGTAGTTTAAACTGATATCTCATTTTACTCATATTTCCATCTTTACTAATGAATTTGAGCGTTTCTTCACATGTCTGTGAGCCTTTTGAGTTGTGTATCTTTTGACCAGATTTCTGTTGGGGTTGCTGTCTTTTTCTGCTTGATTTGTAGAAGTTCTCTGTATATTAATTCCCTGTTGGTTTTAGATACTGCAAATATCTTTTGCTGTTATGTTTTCTATTTATAAATTTAAGTTCAGAAAGAATCTTCTAGTTTGTCAACGGTTTAGGGGTATTTAAAAAATCTTAAACAAATGTTGTACCTTCTCAAATGCTTTTCTCCATCTATTAACATAATCTTTCAGCTTTTGTGCATTAGTTTATTAATGGGGTGATTTTCCTTGGAGAAATTTCTGATATTTAATGATTCTTGCATTCCTGGGATACACCCTTCTTCATAATGTGTTCTTAGATTGCATCATATGAAATTGCTATTTCTTAGGTCAAAAAATGGTCAAATATTGGCTATTTCATAAATGTCAAATTGAATGTTTTTAACACACTGTTGATTAAATTTATCTCTTTTAAAAAATATTTTTACATTTATGATAATAAGTTAAATAAGAATATAATTTTCTTTTCTTGATTTGTCTCTATCTATTTTTGGAATCAGAATCAGGATTATACCAGCCTGAAACAATGAGATGGATAGCTTTTTATTTTTTTTTAATTTTTATTTTTTTACATTTCCCATGTTCTAGAACAACTTATTTAGGATAAAAATTCATGAAAGTTTGAGATTTGATTGAATTCAAATGTCAAGATATCTAGGACTGTGTTGTTTTTTTTTTTTGAAAGGAATATCCTTGACATTTCATTTTCTTTATTACAAGTGTGTTGCAGTTTTACATTTGTTCTGCACTAAATGTGGTATTTTAAATTTTGAGAAATTTATCTTTGTCATCTAGATTTTAAAATGTGCCTGCATTTAGTTCATATGATATACTGTCCATAATAATCTTATTTTAAAAATCCGTCTGTAGTTATTTCCCCTTTCTAGTTCTGGGATTGATTTGTATCGTCTGTTTTTTCCCTTGATCAGTTTTTGTAGTGTCTGTCTTATTAATGTTTTCAAAGAACTAGGTTTTAATTTCATTGATCTTTATTGTAGTGTTTTTGTTCTGTGTATGGTTTAGTTTTGACTGGTGGTGATTGTTCTCTTTTCATTAACAGATGCCTTTATCTTTCCTATTTTCTCTTTTCTTGTTTCTTTGCACTTACTAGGTAACTCTTTTTCTAATTTATTGGTTATAATGCTTAAATTATTATTTTTTAACTTATTTTCTGAACAAATTATTCAAAATTATAAATAGCCCTCTAAGTTCTGCTTTAGCTATGTGTCTCAAGTTTGACATCTAGAATTATAATTTTTATTCAGTTGTCAATACTGTATTTCTTAATTTCCTTTATTAATTCTCTTTTAAATCTTGGGCTTTTAACTAACATTAATTTATTTCTAAACACAAGGGAATTTTAAAGTTATTTTTTGTTGTTAATTCATAGTTTTTCATAGTCTTGTTACACTATATTCAAAGACACAGCGTTAATGACATTGGCTCTTTGAGAGTTACTGAAGTTTCTTTTATGGCCCAAATCACAGTCTGTTTACGTAATGGTTCTGTGTACTTTCTGTCTGTCAGATGTGGAGTTCTCTTATCTCTAATACTTTGAGCTTATTATGTTGCTAAAGTCTTTAGTATCTTTATTTTTTTTATTTTTTTATAATTTTATTTATTTTTTCCCCCAAAGCCCCATTAGATAGTTGTATCTCATAGTTGCACATTCTTCTAGTTGCTGTATGTGGGATGCGGCCTCAGCATGGCCGGAGAAGCGGTACGTCGGTGCATGCCAGGGATCCGAACCCGGGCCGCCAGCAGCGGAGCATGCGCACTTAACCGCTAAGCCACCCGGTCGACCCTTCAGTATCTTTTTTAAAAATCTTTTTCTGCTTTATTCTGAGAGGGATGTGTTAACATTTTTGTCTTTTTTTTTTTTTTCTTAGCTGTGGTATCATTTCTTAGCCATCTTACCCTGTAATCCAATAAACAAAGCAGATGAAACCGTGATTGCTCTGGTTGAGTCTGGGAGAAGAATTCTTAAACCCTGTGTCCTCTCAAGGCCCCATCCCTGGGTGACCCCAGGCCCCTCTGCAGAGTCCCTGAATTGGGATATTATTTCTGTAAACAATGTATCAATTAACCTTTTAACCGTATACTTATTTCTTATCACACACCCACTAACCCAGAGAACTTTAAATTCACAGCCAAATGGGCCCTCCCATCCTCTTCCTCACCCACCTGCATATCTGCTTGTCCACTTGCCAGTGCCCCTACTGGACTCTTCCTCGCATAACCAAATTCTGTGCCTTGCTCAAAGCCTGCTCAAATTCTGCTTCTTCCAAGCAGTCTCTTCTAGCCATATCAGTATTTAGGACCGTAAAACCAATGCTTGCTAGCACAATTCATTTAGTGTTTATTCACTGACCTGATTTGCTAATAAATTACTGTTTATTCGGTGACCAGCACTTGTGGTCAGAACTTCTGTTTAAGTGATTGTAGTTGTTTGATATTTTCTGTCATAATGTTTGCCTGCCCTGTTGTGCTGTGTAAGCATCTTGAGGGAAATGCATGTCTGTAGGTCTCTATTCATTAAAGTACCTGCTTAGTGTCTTGTTCTTGCTGTTGAACAACAAAAATACTTTGAGTTTATTTACTTCAACGTTAATATGACTTAATTTTTTTCCTATGTAGAGGACAGTTTTGTTACATTGCAAGTTCTTTATTTTACTATATTTTGCTAAATGTGTCCTTTATTATTAATAATAAGCTTGATGAGTGAAAGTTCTTTAAGTTTCTCTTCAAACTCCTTGTAAAACAGATTTATTCTGTTTCTAAAATAAGCAGCCATTTATGGTTAATTCTTTTAATGTAAATTTATGCATAAAGTAGTTTTTACAAGTTTAAATTTAGCTGCTCTCCTATAAGCCTGTGTTTGTTGAGTCTGGTAAAGCCATACAATGCACTAAGCTGTCTTCCTCCCCCTCCCACTTAAGATTAATTATTTGAGTTAAGCTTTCAATCTGCAAGCTTCCCTCTGAGGACAGCGAGCCTGAGTCAAGCAGCAGATTGAGCGTGGAGAGTGCCAGGACGGTCACGAGGGGCTGACTTGTCACTCTGCTGCTAGGACGATTGTGTCACCCCACAGCCATCGTCACATGCCTTTGGGCCCTGGCAGCACGCCAGGCCTGAGCTGGTGCCGTGGGGGTTCAAGACGTGGTTAAAGCAGTGTTGTTTTCCACATCCACCCGCCACTGTGGTTTTGTTGCACAGAATCAATATAAGTGAAGCATTGTCAGCCAAATCCTGAAATCGGTAATTTAGACCATAAAGTGGAGGTAGCAAGGTGAGACAGGAGATTGAATAAAAGAATTATAGAACATTTATAAGCCATGGGCCATTAAGTCCTTTAACGTGTATCTTATTTCATTTTCCCAACATCTGTGAAGTAAGTATTATGCCCATTTTGCAGATGAAGAAGTGGAATTCCACAGAGATAAAATAATGTATTAATTCTTGGACATTGAGTAAGTGATAGATTTGTGTATGGAATTCAGATCTGAGAGCCAAACCAACATCCTCAATTCTCCTTGTTTTTAGTCACATAACACCCAATGTTATTTTGTACCTTTGTATACATTAAAGAAATGTAATTATTTAGAATTAATTATTGATTTTCTTTCTTACTGGACTGCACGTCCGTGAGAACAGGATCCATGCTGGTTTTGTTCAACGTGATATCTCCAGGACTAAACACTTGGCTTGTGCTCATTAAATGCTCCCTGTCCCACACCCGCTCTGGTTTTTGGAGGGGGGCAGTGAGGCCAGGGTTTCCACTACATTGTGTTGACTGTCTTAGGTAAGAACGTGATGCATGGCCAGTCTAGGCCAGTGTGACCCTGGACAATTGGAGAAGGCTTGCTGGGGGAGCCAACCTTCTTAGATGGAAATACAGTAATTTCTGACTGTAACCTGTGCATAAGGCTGTTAGGGACCTCAAGTACTTCGTTCTCAAAAAGGGACTGTTCATTGTAGAGGAATCACAGTAAGGACGGGGAAATGCTGATGTCTCTGTAATATAGATTCTGCTGCTCTATTTAAAATTTTTTTCCTTTTTTTTTTTTAAAAGAAAAAATCAGACAAAGATATGCAGACTTGCCTGGAGAATTGCACATTATTGAACTTGAAAAGGATAAGAATGGACTTGGACTCAGCCTTGCTGGTAATAGAGACAGGTCACGCCTGAGCATCTTTGTGGTGGGAATTAACCCGGAAGGACCTGCTGCCACGGACGGACGAATGCGTATTGGAGATGAACTCTTAGAGGTGAGGGGCGTATATTTTTAATTTCTCTTTTGGTGAGGTGAAAGGGTGCAGGGGAAAATGAGGTGAACGGGAAGGATGTTACAAATTATATTTTCTTAAACTATTTAAAATCATTTTCCAAAGCAAGAACAAAAATCACATTGTTGCTTGCAAATGCTATTTGCTCCTTGAGTAAAAACTAGTCTCACAAAATAATTTAGGAGCCCTTAAGTAAAAGCTCATGGAAACATACTAAAAGAATAGGGCTTATTTTTAATATAAATTCCAAAAGGTTCAAAACTAATTTGTGTGTTAATCTAAAATTGTTAGTGTTTATCAAAATTCTCTTTGGGTTTTGAATTAACCATAAGTATGACATTTTTTGTTGTTGTTGTATAGTTTTTTGGGAAGGTGTTAGAACCAACAAAACTTTGTGAGTTGGTTGTCAAGGTTTGGTTAGTATCTGTGAAGTAGGTGATGTGGCCACATAGGTTACTTACTGAGGAACAGGCTAGAGATAAGAGAAGCTGAGGAGATGACTGATCCTCTGCTGATTACTCTCTAGGTTTCATCAATAATCTGAAAAGGCTATTCTTATCTTCCTAAACTTAAAGTCAGAGTTTCTGTTCTGAGTTTATCTTAGTTTGATTTTCGTTTTCTTGTTCACTCACTCATTCATTCCACTAATATTTTTTGAGTGTCTCTTAGGACTGGATGCAGAAAAGACATGAATACATCCAGACCCTTCATTCTGATAGCTCACAGTCTAGAGGAAGAAAACAGACATGAAGAGATTGTTGTACTACAAAATGAAAAATATAATAATAATCATAACAGCTATTATGTACTCGATATCAAACACAGCAGCCTCTCTCACAGGTGAGGTCCCAGAGTACATAGGAGTCAACGTCAGGCATTTGACTTCTCGGCTCTGTGTTAACCAGTGTGCTCTAAGGCCTCTTGGATAAAATGCTCCAACACTGGAGGTTTGGGGGAGCTGAGTCGCGGAGGACCCCGAGTATCAGACTGCTCCCTTAAAGTGAGAGCTCACTGATGTTGCATTTTACGATTTCCTCTTCAGACTTGGACTCAGATTAGAATTCACAATCCTCCATAGTCTGACCTAATAATATCCACAGCCAAAGCTTGTCAGACACAATGCAAGACCATTAGTACCCACCTCTCCTCCAAGCCCTGGCAGCTTCTCCCCATCTAGAACCTGTTTCCACAAAGAAGTCACTTCTGGAATTACTTTTCTTGTCTTGTTCTTTTGTGAAATGGCATCAAGAAAGGGACCCACATTGGGTATAGCGACCAGCATAGTCGTTAAATAAATAAAAATCAAAGGTGACGGTATGTATTAACCAATGAAATTCATTACTTCAAGTTTATTTCCTTTGGTTGGTGTTTAGAAGCTTCTTCAGAGATGAGACTGATGTGGTGGTGGTGGTGAGAACGATAAAAGTAAAACTAATTTACTGAGTTATTACTAGCGCTGTGCCTATGCACTCACACATTTGTATTCAATGTTCTTAGGAGCCCTGTATAGTAAGTAGTGTTGTTATCCTCATTTTTTGGATAAGAAAACTGTGTGAGTAGCTTGCCTAATACTGCAGAACTAAGTTACTAGGTCGCAATAAGAACTCAGGCTTGCCTGACCCCTAGATCCATGCTCTAAGCACTGAAGTGTACTGTGTTCCCCGTGGTACTTCAGCCAAACCCTGTTTGTGCAGATTCATGAGAATCCGGATTTATGATGCTCTGATCTTTAGGGAATCATGTATGTTAAGTCACTCTGTTGTGTACATGTACCTAGACACAGACTTCCTGTCTTGCGTGGTATATGGACACGTTCCAAAGGCTCTAATTGGGAGCATGAAGATTCTAGTTCTGTTCTCTCAACCTTATTAAGACTCAAGGTGGGCCGGGGGGACCCCGAGGGCCGGGTGGAAGGAGGGAGGGGTCCGTACTTGGCACCCCAGCCCGGCCACAGGGCCACCAGGCCACACGGCCACACCAGCGCCCCCTGCCGTGAGCTGGAGCCCAAGCCAGGCGGGGCAGGGCAGGCAGAGCAGCTTGCCTGGCTCCCACCATGAGCACCGAGCTCAACGTGTCTGTGTACCCCTCCACTCCTGCCTGCTCTGCAGCCTGCCACAAGGGCATGGATTACCAGGACCGGGTCCACCGCAGTTACCTGGAACTGGTCACCTCCAGCCACGGCTCCGTGCAGGCCCTCTCCTGGAGGAAGCTCTACCTGAGCAGGGCCAAGCTGAAGGCCTCCAGCCAGACCCCTGCTCTCCTCCCGGGCTTCGCCATGGTGGCCATGGTGGAGATGCAGCTGAGGATGTAGTACCAGTACCCGTGGCCGCTGCTCATCGCCTTCAGCGCCTGCACCATGGTGCTGATGGCCGTGCACCTCTTCACCCTGCTCATCAGCACCTGCATCCTGCCCAACATGGAGGCCGTGAGCAGCATCCACAACCTCAACTCCATCAGCGAGTCGCCGCACGAGCTCATGCACCCCTACGTTGAGCTGGCCTGGGGCTTCTCTATTGTGCTGGGCACCCTGCTGTTCCTGGCCTAGGTGGCGCTGCTCTGCTGGATCAAGTTCCTGCCGGTGGACGCGCGCCACCAGCCCGGCCACCCAGCAGGCCCCGGGCAGGCCGCCCTCGTGTCTACCATCGTCATGGTGCCCATGGGCCTCATCTTCGTGGTCTTCACCATCCGAGTTTGCACCACAAAACTGAGTGGCACAACCGTGAGGTCGAGGAGCTACACAAGCTCAAGGTGCAGCAGGACGGGCATGAGCACAACCTGCAGGTCGTGTGAGGTGCGGCCCTGAGGGCTAAGGCCACCTTGGCCGGGAGCCGAGCACAAATCACCTGCATTTTGGAGAATTTCAAAAATGCAAATTTCTAAAGAGGCTGCGTAGACTCTGCCAGATAGATCAAAACCAGAGTTTTACTTCTGTCTTAGCATTGTAAAACCTAGATCATTTTCTCTTAGAAAATGGAAATCTTTAATTACAAGGAAAAAAAATGACTCAAGGTGGAAGGCCTGTGGGACCCAGACTAGCAGGAGCATTGGTGCTTTATTTCTTTGTCTGACGTTTTATTGGATACGGGTGACAGATGAGCTGAGGCTGCAGAGGAATGAGTGTTGTACAGGCTGTAGGCAGAAGTCAACACTGTGTACGGGGCATGAGCACTGGGCTTGTAACTCCTACTTTAACTTCTCCCAGTTCTTTCAGTCATTAGCTGCATTTCAGAAGGGGCTTAACACTGCCTGGCACAGAGCTGAGTGTTGGTTAAGTCACCTTCCTCCCTCGCAGACAGGAACGTCGGGTGTGTGTTTGCCAGGCTGAGGTGGAAGAGCCCCCTGGGGCAAGAAGGGATACTGACTTCTCGCCACAGGGGACCCTCCTGTTCCTGCCTTTGACTTTGGCCCTTTTGTGGCTATTCAGCAACTGGATCTTCATTCCAAGATGGGAAGAGCAAGAAGGTTAAACATGGCAGTGAGTTAATCCCCCTCCACGCCCCCCTGAGTCTCTTCTTTAAAAAAAAAAAGGTAAATGAAAGTATGTTGGAACACATTCTAGCGTCGTAAATCCTTGGCTAGTTATTTATCTTCTCTGACCCTCGGTTACTTCCTTTGTCAACGGAAATTATTTATTCATTCAGCAAGCATCACACGTGCATCTGTCATGGAGGAGGAGTCTGTGAACAGGGTGCTGGTCTTACTGGGGTGGACGAGATCCGTGGTGCCTGCTCTCATAGACTGTACAGTCTAGTGATGTACGGCATCAACCTCAGACAGTGTTGTTATGAGAATCAGTGAGAAAGATATGTCAAGTTTTGCCACAGTATCTGGCACGTAGTAATGCCGTAATACATTTCAGCTGATATTGTTTGTAAAATAATATTTTCATGTGGATTTGTGTATTTCAGTTCTCTTTAGTTTGCCTATAGTAACGCATTTGTCTCTGAAAGCATGTCCCAGAGGGTGGCCATCTTCTTCTTCCTCTGTAGCTCTGTGCAGCACCCTGAAAAGCTGAGAGAATGGGAAGATGTGCGTAGTGGCTTCCTAAGCGGTTATAACCCTTCTTCTTCTCATGTGACTTTGGCTCTAGGTCAGGGTGACAGGGGAAAAAAATTGTGTGGGGAACATTTCCCCGTTACTTTTCATAGCAGAGGAGCTGAGGTTAGTTTTTGTAGCTGATGTGTGAGGAGTTTGTATGCAGCATAATGTCACATCCAGGGTGCTTTTGAACTGAGCATAGGAAATTGACTTAGTGATGAGAACCAGGGGAGCTAATGGCCAGCGTTACAGCCCCTGCCCCTGGGTATTGCGGGTGCTCGAGGGTAGCAGGACACTGCGTTACGTGGGTGGCTTTTACTGTGGGCTTCGACGTGACACCCACTAGGTCTCTGGGCCAGAGCACGTCTCGTGCGTTTGCTCACCCACCCACAGGCCATTTAATTTTGTGGTTTCTCTCCTCAACTGAGGTAAAGTTATCGTGTCTTGATTATTTCTACGACTCTACTATTTGCTTGTTATTTCTCATTATTGCTTTGTTGTTACTGTTATGTTATTACTTTGCTCACAGCCTCCTTTTATTAATAGTTGATCTGACTTCTTTTAGGCCCTAAGATGAGGCTAACTTACAGGAAGCAGTAAAGAGAATGTTCAGATGTACGTTGTGGCTTCTTTGAAGTCAGAAGTTCTGCTCTGTAGAGCCGTGTCCGTGACTGATTTCTGGCACGACCTTCCCAGCAGTGTTGTAGCCGTGGGACTGCACTGTGACCCTGAAAGGGCAGTCAGCAAGTTCTCTCGGTCGAGGGCCCAGTTCACGTATGAAAGAAATCTTACATCCAGTCCCTGGAAGACAGCGTGATTACATCTCAGCTTCTTCACCTGTTACTGCAGTGCTGGTGTGGGGGTGCTGAATTAGTTTCAGAAGGTATTAGCATATAATTACCATGTAGACTGGAATGAGACTTGCACTTTCCCTAAGCAATTAG